TAGGGACCATCTAATTGAATTTCCTCCTTCTTCCATTACCTTTGTCTATTTCAATGGGCCTGCCTTTATTACTGTTAGAGAGAAACTGCGTCTTTATTAAGTGAGGCACCTAGTCCTTTTTATCTTAAGAGCGTATAAATTCAGTTCACAAACTTAGTCTTTAGTAGGTCTAAGTGTTTGCAGTTGTTGGGTAGTAAAGTTTTTTTTATTTTGTAAAAATCTAATTTTGATTGAAGTTGGCATTAAACTGAAATCTACAGTTTAAATGTTGTACTTGCCTGTGTTGAACATATTTTTAACAAGGTATTGTTGGATTTAATTGAGAAGGACTTGAATGAAAATGGATCCTTAGTAACTGAGGCAGTTGGCACGGTGGAACAGTGGTTAGCACTGCTGCCTCAGCACCAGGGACCCAGCCTTGGATTACTGTGTGGAGTTTTCACATTCTCCCTGTGTTTGTGTGAGTTTCCTCTGGCTGCTCCAGTTTCCTCCCACAGTCCAAAGGTGTGCAGGTTAGGTGGATTCGCCATGCTAAAAAAAATTGTGCTGTGGTATCCAGGGATGAGCAGGTTGAGTGAGTTATCCATAGCAAAAACCCCATGTAGGGCTACATGGATGGAGGAGTGTTCTGGGTGGGATGCTCTTCGGAGTGTTGGTGTAGACCCGATGGGCTGAATGGCCTCTTTCTGCACAGCTTCTATGATCTGAATGTACATAACAATGAAATAAAACAGACGAACTGAGAGTGCAAATAGAAATGAGTAAGTACGACGTGGTAGCCAATACAAAAGCATGACTGCAGATGACATGGATTGCGATCTTAATGTTGAATGTTACAGGGCATGTAGGAATGATAGGAAATTAGGAAAAAGTGAAGGTGGCAGGTGGAGATGCCTCTGTTATTAATGATAGTATTAGCACAATAGAGAGATTTTTAAGTTAAGAAAACCAAGATGTGTAATTGGTTTGGGTAGAATTTGTGGGAATGGTGTCCAGGTTCCCTCACAGTAACACATAAAGAATCATAAAGGAAGAAATAATGAGTGTTTGTCAGGAAGGCATGTTGATAATCATTGGAGATTTTAATCTACAGAGTGATTCAAAAAGTCACATGGGCAAAGGTAGCCAAATGAGCAGTTCATAGAATAATTCTGGGATAGTTTCTTAGAACACCATGTTCTGGAGCCAAGCAGAGAGCATGGTATTCTAGACCTGCTATTGTGTAACAAGATAGGATTAATTAACAATTTCAGAGTGTAGGTGCCTCTAGCTAGCACGAACCATAATATGATGATAAGTGCGTGGGTCCTGATGGACTTCATCCTGAGTCTTAGAAGAAGTGGTTAAGTGAGATAGTTCATGCATTGATTTTAATTTTCCAAAACTCCCTTAATTCAGGGATGGTCACATTAGATTGGGAAATAGCTAATGCAACTCCTTTATTCCAAAAAGGGGCGAAAGAAAGAGAGAGGGAGAGAAAAGAGAAAACTGCAGCCCCTCAGCTTAATATTTGTCAAAAGGAAAATGTTAGAGGCTTTTATTAAAGAAGTGATAGCAACTCATTTTGATAAGTTCAAGGTAATTACACAGTGTCATCATGGACTTGTGAAAGGGAAGTCATGTAAGACCAACTTATTAGAATTATTTGATGAGGTAATGTGCTGGAGATAAATGGAAAACAGTGCATGCACTGTGCTTGGATTTCCAGTCGGCATTTGATAAAATGCCACATCGAAGGTTATTGCAGAAAATAAAAGCTCATAGAATAGGGGGTAATGCACCGAGCATGGATGGAAGATTGGCTGACTAACAGGAGCAGAGATAGGCCTTCTATGGGTTGGGAAGATGTAATGAGTATTGTGCCACGTGGAAAAGTGCTTGGATCTCAAGTGATTACGATTTATGTGAGTTCAATGAAAGGCTCGATGGTATTGTTACCAAATTTGCTGATGACGAAAGATAGGAAGCAAAAAAAAATTATGAAGAGGACATGAGGTTACAAAAAGATAAAGAGGGTTACGAGAGTGGGAAAAGATGTGGCAAATAAAGTATAATATGGGAAAATGTGAAATTGTCCATTTCGGCAGGAAGAATAAAATTGAACCGTATTATCTAAACAGTGAGACATTGCTGAGAGAATATTAAAATTTATTGTTAGGGGAATTGAATAGAAAAGTAGGGAGGTTATGCTTCACTTATTCAGGACATTGGTGAGACTGTTCTGGAAGGAGCAGATATAAGACATTTTCTCCCTTGACCTTGCTCTGTCATTCAAAAAAATCATGGCTGATCTGATTGTAACTTCAAATCCTCATTCTTGCCTACCCTGATGACTTCCCAACCCCTTGCTTAACAAGAATCTATCTATCTCTGCCTTAAAAATACTCAAGGACTCTGATTCCACCACATTTTCAGAAGTATACTTCTCTGGTATTCGTCACCTTATTTAAGGAAGAAAGTAAATTTGTTGGAAGCAGTTCAGATAAGGTTTACTTGACTAATATCTGGAATGGGATCGTTGGATGGGCTTGTCTCCACCAGAGTTTAGATAGGTAAGACGTGGTGGGGCGGCATGGAGGCTCAGTGGTTAGCACTGCTGCCTCACAGCACCAGGGACCCGGGTTCGATTCCACCCTTGGGTGACTGTCTGTGTGGAGTTTGCACTTTCTCCCCGTGTCTGCGTGGGTTTCCTCTGAGTGCTCCAGTTTCCTCCCACAGTCCAAAGATGTACAGGCCAGGGTGGATTGGCCATGCTAAATTGCCCATAGTGTTCAGGGATTTGTAGATTAGGTGGGTTATAGGGGAATGGGTCTGGGTGGGATGCTCTGAGAGTTGGTGTGGTCTTGTTGGGCCGAAGTGCCCGTTTCCACACTGCAGGGATCCTATAACTTAGAGTCAAACAGACCCTTCAATCCAACTCATCCATGCCAACTAAGTTTAGTCCCATTTCCCTCTAAACCTTCTCTTTTCACGTACCTGTTCAACTGGTGTTTAAATGTTATTACTGTACCTGCATCTACCACGTCCTCTGGCAGTTTGTTCACATACGAACCACTGTCTGTGTGAAAAAGTTGCCCCTCAGGTCCCTTTTAAATCTTTCTTCTTTCACCTTAAAATTATGCTGCATTGTTTTGAACTCCCTGATCCTAGTGAAAAGATCTTTACTGTTCACCTTATTCCTATGCCCCTCGTGATTTTATAAACCTCTTATAAGGTCACCCCTCAACCTCTTACACTCTTGTGAAAACAAGTCCCACCCTATCCAGCCTCTCCTTATAACTCAAACCCTCTGGTCCGTAACATCCTTGTAAACCTTTTTGATTGAAACTATAAGATCCCAATAGTAGTTTTGACACGGTATATCTTTTTCCTATTTGGGAGAATCTAGAGCTAGGGGTCAATGTTCAAAAATCAGGGGTCATCCGCTTATAACAAAGATTGGATAAAGTTTTTTCTCTCAGATCTCTTTGGAACTCTTTTCCTGAAAATGTGGTGAGAGTTCTTGAATATTTTTAAACCAGAGATAGATTCTCGTTCAGCAAAAGGTTTAAAAGTTATCAGGGGTAGGTGGGAATGTAGATTTGAAGTTACAGTCAGATTAGCCATGATGCTCACAGCATGTAGCTGGCATGGCTGAGGCATCCACGTTTATACAGCCACATTTTCTCACCCCAGTCATTCGTTACATCCCATCTAAGCACCCTCTCTAATACACTGCTATTCTGTACCCAATTCCCCATTGGTAGACCACGTCTTGTCATTGTCCAGTAGGGAAACATCATGTTCGGGCAAGTGATCAGATAATTGCAAACAAGACGTTTTATTTACAACCAGCAAAAAGGAACATATTCAAGATAGATAAAGCTGCAGTTCACCCCCAACCCCATAATGCAAACCATATGTTGCCATTAAGACCAATGACTAGTCTACAGTCTATAATGACTTGTTACACCCAACTCTCCAATAGGAACTGGCTGCAAGTCAGGTCCTGTCTGACTTGCAGTGGCCAAAGCAGCTGAGCTTTGTCATAATGAGAGCTTCTTCTCATCTGCCTCTTTGGAAGACTGCACCCATTCCATAGTATGCCGCCAGCACCTCCCGTCAAAAGGCCTGTCAAGCATCTTGAACGGTCCTTTCATCTGCTGTACTGCAGCCCTCGTCACAACGTGTGTACCAACTTTGTGATGGTGTCATGCTGGCTTTGTCTCTGATATATTGTATGACATTATTCTCTGGTCTTTTCCCATCCCAGACCCGCATCAATCATTCAAATATTCATTACGTTCAGTAGAGTTCATTGTCATATTTATACTCTTGGAAGCTTTACAACCAGGTGGGTGCTTTTGGCCAGCATTAGCCTCTTTTTAAATCATTGCCACTTACACTTGCATCATTGAGATGCCAGTGTTAGATTTGCAAGCATCAATGGCAATTGCCTTTGACCAGCATTTTAAGCATGTTTGTTGTGCATGCATTACAGTTGGGTGAAGAAATTATTGCAAATGAAATGTAGCTGTATTTGCCCCTTCAGTGTCCTAACAGCCAACACTTTGGCCCATCAAGCTTACACTGACGCTGCTCACCCTGCGTGTTATCCCAGTTACTTTCCAGTTGTATCTCACATCTAAAAAACAGCAGGTGATTTGATTTAATTTATTATTGTCACATGTATCAAGATACAGTGAAAAGAATAGTTTTTGGTGCTAACCAGACAAACCATACCTTACATAAGTACGTCAGGATAATAAAACAGAATGCAGAATATAATACTACAGCTACAGAGAAGGTGCAAAGAAAGATCAGCTGTAATACATGAAAGGTCCATTCGTAAGTCTGATAACAGCAGGGAAGAAGCTGTTCTTAAATCTGTTGGTATGTGTTTTCAAACTTTTATATCTTCTGCCCAATGGAAGACGGTGGAAGAGAGTATAACTAGGGTGAGAAGGATCTTTGATTATTTTGGCTGCTTTCCTGAGGCAGCAGGAAGTGTAGATGGAGTCAATGGAAGGAGGGCTAGTTTTCGTGATGGACTGGCCAATGTTTACAACTCTATAATTTCTTGCAGTCTTGGGCAGAGCAGTTGCCATACCAATCTGTAATGCATCCAAATAGGATCCTTTCTCTGGTGCATATGTAAAAATTGGTGAGAGTTGTTGTGGATGTGTTGCATTTGCTTAGCCTTCTGAGGAAGTAGAGGCATTGGTGTGCATTCTTGACTGTAGTGTTGACGTGGATGGACCAGGATGGATTGTTGGTGATATTTACTCCGAGGAACTGGAAGCTCTTGATTACTTCTGCCTCAGCACTATTGATACAGTCAGGGGTGTTTGTTCCATTCTGCGTCATGACGTCGATGACCTTTGGTTTGCTGACGTATAGGGAGAGATTGTTATCTTTAGATCATGCCACAAAGTGATAAGTGAACATAGTTTGGGGTGGACACTGTCAGCACCAGGCTTTGCCTGATCATCCCCCAGAACGTCCATGTCCCCTTTAACTCCACACTACCTTGACGGTCATTTTTACCCATTGCTCACCCCCATGAGAATACTCACCAAATTGAACTGTCCTTCGATTGTCATTATTGCCTCCTGAATGCCACACCTTAATGTGCTCCGTCTGATCCTCCATACTCCTGTTACGGATGTTACTGTGGTGGTCAGTGCCAATAACCATACTGCTCAATTTGTATGCTGTTCAGTGCTGTTCCATCTGCCTCCCATACACTTTGGGTTTCCTCCGTCACCATCCTTCTCCTCACCTGTACACATGCCTTTGTTCTACCACCCCCACCCCCCCCCATCTTGATCCCCGCCATCCATTTTGGAAGTGATTGCCCCATTGATGCTTCATGTCTGCCTTACAACCCCTGTAGTATGGAACTTTCAAGCTTCCTTGAAACAGTATCTTGTCAAGAGATTCTGCTTTCAAACGCAAGGAGCTTGGGCAATGGCAATGGGCTATTTATGAGATAGGTGTGCATAAAACCTACCAGAAAAGGCTGAAGTTTGGCTGTCCAGAACAGGTACATTTTTAACAGCGTCTGGCAGTGAAAATGCACTGTTACAAGTGCAATGAGTCATCCCTTCAGCCATTAATTATTGCTGGGAACTAAAAAAAAAGTAACATTTAATTAGTTTCTTGTTAAACATTTTCTTTCTGCCACTTTTAAAAATGTACCTTTCCTTCCCTCTTTCTTTTACTTTCTGTACATAATTTGGTATTGAGCTAACAACGCTACCTTACAGTTCCTGGTTCAGAATTTCTGTGGGTGATCAAGTTTCTTCAGTGTGGTTGTCTGAGGAGATACACAGTTGGTTGCCCTTTTTACGGAAGTCCTAGTTCCCTGAAAATAGAGCTGTGTTGAAATAAATTTCTAGTCACCACAAGTTCCAGTTCAAAAGCACATAGAAAGTCATTGAATGTGAAATCTGTAGGAAGTGACCGTGTTATCATCAAAAAGCATAACCCATCTGGTCCTGTTCCCAGGAGCACCTGCCTGCTTTTTAATCTCCTGAAAAATTAATGTTTGACCTAATAGTGGAAAAAAATAAAAGAAGTTTAAACAAATTCAAGGTTACATTAGTGCCATTTTGTCCATATTTAAATATTGTTGACAAAATTCAGGCACATTTTTAAAGTGACTTTGTTGTTGCTTTTATCTTCTTTTGTTGGGTTTTCAGCCAATCCAATTACAGATTTTCTCACCAGAAAGCAGAATGATCAGAGCATCAAATGCCATGTCTTTTAATTGTGCTAATTGTTCAGAACAAGATTCAATTAGATTTGAAACTGTCTTACTTTGTATTCTTTGTTCATTTTAGTGTCTGGTTATTTCCATGTATGAACAACTCAAAGCAGTATTCATTAAATCAAAATGTTTATTTTTCAAGACAAAGTATACTTTTAGTTTGCTGCTCTCCACTGCTAAGTGACTACCCATTAAAAAATATTTAATGTTCTGTTAAATAGTGTGTGTACAATGTACATTAGAGTGTGACTGCATAAGCTAGTAGCTTTCTCCAGAGCATAGGGACACAATTGAATGTAGCAACATATGTCAGGTAGCTTAGATGAAACAGGAAAATGACGTATAGAACAGTACAATATTAAATAAATGAAATATAAAATCAAGTTAATTCAGCAAAATTGCATGGAGAAACTCTAACATCGAGGCAGAATTTGCTGTCACTGTCTTGTTAAATTTGACCTTGCCTGTTCACTTTTCATGAGCTTTTTGCACTGAAACTGTTAAAGATTCAAATGACACAGCTCCCTCTATAGGGCGTCTGAGACCTGTGTGAACAGGAGGTGCAACTGTAACCAGATTGAAGAGTTGTTAGTGGCATTTTAGTGCCAATTGTTAGTGACTGTGGTTCATAGCCTGAACCAGAAAGGTTCAAACCTAACCCTGTCACAAGTTCAAATGGTGAATTAAATGTCACATCACGTATAGAAAGTGAAATAAACGTGAGAAAAGATTTATTTTGGAAATAGAAGGAGACAAAGAAATAGTAACTTTTTGTTCCAAATTGCAAAAACAGTTAAAAGATGAAAGAATAAGATTCCACATCCATAAAAATATTTTTTAGTGCGGGAGATTAGAAATGTTTACTACAAATATCATCCATAAGTGGGTGTTTGGACTTAAGTTGTAACAATTTACAACAAGCTTAATCTCTCTGTGCAGCCGCAACATTTATGTGGTTGGTGCAGTTAAGCCTTTGGTCAGTGGCGATTATAAGACAGTCATAGTGAGAATGGTCATAGTGAGGAATATGACTGTTAATGCTATTGAATGGCAAGGGGGGTAATTTAAAAGTACTGTTATTGGGAATTGCCATTGCTTGGCACATGTAGCATGAATGTTACTTACCACTTTTCAAGCCAAGTCAAAGTGCTGTTTAGGTTTTGCTGCATACAGATACTGACTATTTCATTACCTGCGCTGTTGAGAGTGGAACTAAATGCTGTGAAATCGACAGTAAACATTTCCACACCTTACTTTGATAGTGGGAATATTAATATCCCCCTGACATGGAACTATATGGAGGTGGTAGTGCTGTGCTAAAGAGATGTTGTGAAGAAGTGGTAATGTTACTGGACTAGTAATCTAGAGATCCAGGCTAATACTATGGGGCATGAGTTTAAATCTCATCACGACAGATGATGAAATTTGAATTCAATAAGAAAATCTGAGATTAAAAAGCTGTTCTAATGGTGACCATGAAACCATTGTTTGATTGTTGTTTAACACACCCATTGGTGTTTCACTAATATAATTTAGGAAATGAAAATGTGCCATCTTTGGCTTGCACGTGACTCCAGTCCCTAGCAATTTGATTGATTCTAACTGCCCTAGCATCATAGCAACATCTGGGAGCTCCTGCAAAAATTGGAAGAGCTGTCCCACAATGAGTCAAGCAACAGCCAGACGTTGTCATTCTCACAGAATCACACTTATTGACAATGCTCAATATACCACCATTACCGTCCTGTGCATCTCCTGACCCACCAACAGAACATACACAGGAAGATGTTTTTTATTGGGAGTCCCTTATATTGACTCCAAACCCCATGACGTGTCATTGCATCAGTTAAACCATAGGCAGGGAGGCATCTTACTGATTAAGACCTACTACAAAAATCCCAGCTCAAAAGCTGTTCAGCATCAAGTTCCTCGGAATGATGATAACTGACAACCTGTCCTGGACTTGCCACGTAAATGCGACAGTCTAGAAGGCACAACAACGCCTCTTCTTCCTCAGGCGGCTCAGGACATTTGGTATGACCATAAGGACTCTCACCAACTTCTGCAGATGTACTATTGAAAGCATACTGCCTGGGTGCATAACAGCCTGGTATGTCAAATGCCCTGCCCAGGACCGTACAAAACTACAGAAGGAATAGTGTGCACAGCCCAGACCATCATGGAAGCCAACCTTCCATCCTTGGACTTTATTTACACGGCCTGCTGCCATGGAAAGGTGGCCAACATCATTGAAGACCCATTGCACCCTGGTAATGACCTCCTACAACCTCTTCCGTCAGGCAGAAGATACAGAAGCCTGAACACACCCACAAGCAGGGTCAGGAACAGCTTCTTTCTGGCCGTTATCAGACTGATGAATGGACTCTAGTCTCAAATAATGTAACCTGCAATGTAACCTGTATGTCTGTAAGTCTTTTTGATCTGTACATCCTTTGCTTGCTGTGATCTGCCTGTAAACAAAGCTTTTCACTGTATTTCGGTACACGTGACCGTAAAATCAAAATCAAAATCAAAAATCCATCTGGAATACCACTTTGAGGAAGCACTGAGGGTGAGTAGGGCACTGAGTATGGTCAGGTAAGAATTTGAATATTCACCATCAAGGGTGTCTCAGTAGCACCACTTTCCACCAGAAAGAAATGATGTCATTACCAGGAATGGCTTCACCATCTCATAATCTTATCCACGGCTATTTTTAAGGTGAGAGGAGAAAGATTTGAAAAAGACATGAGGGGCAATTTGTTTTTACACAGAGTGGTTCGTGTTCGGAATGAGCTTCCAGAGGAACTGGTGGATGTGGGTACAGTTACAATGGTTAAACGCCATTTAGATAAGTATATGAATAAGAAATGTTTGGAGGGATGTGGGCCAACACAAACAGGTGGGACTAGTTTCGTTTGGGATTATTGTCGGCATGGACTGGTTGGACCAAAGGGCCTTATTCTATGCTGTATGACTCTATGACTCTACTGGCCAAACTGGCCATTTAACAAATATATTTGATAAAGAGGGGAAATTGTAAACTTTTAAGGATATGCCAAGAAATATAGTTAAGCTAGGAAAACACAAAAATGGAGAAAAATACAGTGAGAGAGGGGAACCAGAGTGAAAAGTAAAAGGAGAGACGGGTAATACAGAAGTTCAGGGGGAGAAAAAGTACAGGTGCAGGCAGATTTAGAAGAAACAGCGATTATGGCAGGCAAGAACTCTGTAACAGTAAATATGGAGATGAATAAAAATCACAGAAAGAAAGAGTTGTGATTACACATATGGCAAAAATAGACTTGTATTTCTGGGAACTTTAATGAAAACTTGAGACCTCCATGCACTTTACATTTAACAAAATACTTCTGAAGGATGAGAGACAACAAGGTGCAGGGCTGGATGAACACAGCAGGCCAAGCAGCATCATAGGAGCAGAAAGGCTGACGTTTTGGGCCAAGACCCTTCATCAGAAATGGGGGAGGGGAAGGGGGTTCTGAAATAAATAGGGAGAGAGGGGGAGGCGTATAGAAGATGGATAGAAGAGAAGATAGGTGGAGAGGAAACAGACAGGTCGAAGAGGCGGGGATGGTTTCTCCAGCATCTGCAGTTCCTGCTATCTCTAGAGAACATTGGTGCTAGGTATGACTAGAACCAGTAGAGAGATGATGAAGGGTCTAGGCCCGAAACGTCAGCCTTTCTGCTCCTATGATGCTGCTTGGCCTGCTGTGTTCATCCAGCTCTGCACCTTGTTGTCACCAATGTTCTCTACACTTTTTTCTTGCTACTGTGTGTACCTCTGAGATCCGTGCTTGGCAGCAGCTTGTGTTAACAGAAGCCATTAACATGCCGATCGACACGGACAGGGATTCTCAATGTCTGCTCGGCCACGCAACTTGGAAAGAATGTTGCATAGCATAAAGGAATATAGTTGCAGTTATTGAAAGTCTCAGACACAGAATATCACAACAGGAGTTTCTCAGGATAGTGTCCTCGGCCTTACCATCTTCAGATGCTTCAACAATAACCTTCCCTCCATCATAAGGTCAAATGGGTGTGTAAGCTGATGAATCTACAATGTTCAGCACCATTTGTAACTTCTCAAAAACTAAAGTAGTCTGTGTGCAGCAAAATGCAGTGAAACCTGGACAATCTTCAGACTCTGGCTGGTAAGTGGCAATTAATATATGTGCCATACAAGTGCCAGGCAATGGGCAACTATTGTCCCTTGACATTTATTGGCATTACCAGCACTGAATGCTCCACAATCAACATTGTGGGTGTGTTAACCATTGGCCAGAAACTGAACTAGATGCTAGGAATTCTATGGTGAGATGGAATACTCTCCATTTGCCTGGATGAGTTGAGCTTCAACAACAGTCAAGGAACTGAACACCAACTGAATAAAGCAGCAGGTTTGGTAACTGATCTAACAGCTTCAACATTCACTTCCCCCGTTACCAATGTACAATGTACTGTCTTCAAGGTGCACTACAATAATTCAGCAAGGCTCTTTGTTTTTAAATTGTTCATGGAATGTGGGAATCACTGGCTATGTCACAATTTATTGTCCCTCTGGCAGTTAAGAGTTAAGAAGTTGGTTTGGGTATATAGGTCAGACCTGGTAGGC